CTGCAAACTCTTTATCAGAACAAGTCATAACAGACTTGCTTTTATTGCAAACATTTATTGTAAGCTCATCAAATCAACGTCGGGATTTGAAATTATAGAGCATAAGCCTCCCCAAACCATTTTCAGGGCTTGGAAGTATCCGACTTTGTCGCGTTCGACTAGGTCATACCAACTTCAGGGTATGAAACACGTTTACCCTTAGCAACGGGGACCGATTTATTGTGGTCCGAGTGATCGAACAAATTATAGTGGTTCGTCACACAAACTTTATTGACAACAAAATGCGATTCTTGTACATGGGTAGGACAAAAGGCTTTCATACATCGGAGACAAAGGTCCAGCCTTCAGGTTTACTGATAGTATTTCTTCAGATAGGTTGCGTGCCATGGGTACTGAAGGGGAACACCATCTAGAGTCTCAAGTCGGTAAGTACCATTAAAAATCAGACGATTCACTTTAAAGGGTCCTTCCCACTTCGGTTGCAACGGGCCGACATTGGCCCCGGTTATTCTTTTCAACACGAGGTCTCCCACGACGAACGAACGTGGCTTGAACTTTGAATTAATATACTTTTCACTACGTCGTTTGTAAGCAGCATTTTGAATTTCATCGTCAGTCCGTAGTTCATCGGTCAAATCGAGATTGGCTCTCAGGTTTGCTGAGTTGGTTTCTTCGGAAAAATGAGCAATCTGGTATGTCGGAGAAGTAAGTTCGACTGGTATCACAGCTTCAGTCCCGTATGCTAACGAAAACGGGGTTTCTCCAGTTGAGTTTCGTGTCGTCGTCCGGTAAGCCCAGAGGACATGGGGCAGCTCATCGGGCCAAGATCCTTTTGCAGTCTCTAATCGAGTTTTTAAGCTATTCTTGATAATCTTGTTCACAACTTCTATCTGCCCATTAGCTTGTGGATGATAAGGTGATGAGAAGAAATGCTTGATACCGTAGTTCTCACAGAAGTCTTCAAGTTTTTTCCGTTCAAACTGACGGTCGTTGTCGGTTATAATAGAGTTTGGTATCCCAAACAGACAAACAATGGACTTCCAGACAAAATCGATCATCTTTTGTTCAGTGATGGTTGCAAGAGGTTCGGCCTCAACCCATTTAGTGAAATAATCGGCGGCTAATATCGCAAACCGAACACCTCCTTTTGCTGTCGGAAGTGGGCCAATCAAATCAATCCCCAACTTTGCGAACGGCCATGGGCTATATATAGACTTGAGGAGTTCAGGATGTTGATTAACGTTGGGAGCAAATATCTGACACTTGTGACATTTTCGCACCCAGTCTGCAGCATCTTTCCTGATAGTCGGCCAATAGTAGCCTTGTCGGAGAATCTTGTGGGATAAAGCTTGTGCTCCTTGATGGGTACCGCAGACTCCTTCATGTACTTCTTGAAGAACACGTCGGGCGTCAAATTTCCGACAAGCACTTGAGCAATGGAGTAGAATATCCACGCTTATATAATGTTTCTTGATCAATTGTGAAATGAGCAGCACGAACACGAAGGGTGCGAGCTTCCTTTGGGTCTTCAAGTACGGCCCCGGTTTGAAGGTAGTTGATGATTGGATTCATCAATGTCGGGTTCGGGATTGGTGAAGCAGCGTCGATCATGACGACGTCGGTAGAAACTGTTGAGGAGGTCGCCTGATGAGTAATTTGCACAAACTCGACATTGTTCAAATCGGTTGAAGAGGCCAAATGCAAAAGAGCATCTGCTTGAATATTAGATGAACGAGGTATATGTTCTAACGTCATTTGGAACCGTGATAGCTTCTTCTTGACGAGATCAAAATAAGGCAACAACCGTGGTCCCTTAACTTCGTAAGTGCCATTAATATGGTTGACTAGTAACTGAGAGTCAGAAAATATTCAGAGAGAGGAAACATTCATGGATTCGGCAAAGTGCAGGCCTGATAAGAGGGCCTCATATTCAGCTTCATTGTTGGTGGTCGGGAAAGTGAATGCTACAGAGTAACAAAACACTTGTTGATCAGGACTAACTAAAACGATTCCTCCTCCAACTCGTATAGCGGTGGATGACCCATCGATGTAGAGAGTCCACGTCGGATCCTGAACTGACGTGCTGACAGATGGGGTGAACTCTGCTATGAAATCGGATAGCACCTGAGCTTTGATGGCAGTGCGTGGGCGATACTGAATGTCAAACTGCCCGAGTTCGATAGCCCATTTAATCATCCTTCACGACGTGTCAGGTCAATGGAGGACTTGCCGGAGAGGATATGAGGTGAACACAACAATAGAATGTTCCAGAAAATATGGTCGCAATTTTCGTGCAGCAATAATCAACGCAAAAGCTAGCTTCCCCATATGCGGATATCGCAATTCAGCATCATGTAAAGCTTTGCCAACATAATATATTGGGAACTGCTGGAGTCCATCTTGTTGTATAAGAACAGCGCTAACAGCGACATCACTTACTCCCAGGTACAAATATAAAAGTTCATCGGGGAGAGGTTCTTGCAACGTCGGTAGTTGTGAAAGAACTTCTTTAATGTTATCAAAAGCACTCTAACATTCGGTGGTCCATTCGAACGACTTTTTCTTTCTGATGGCGTCAAAGAAAGGTTTACAATGATTCGTCAACTTCGAAATGAACCGATTTAAAGCGGCTAATCGACCGGTTAAAGCTTGAACTCCTTTGATGGACGTCGGAGGAGCCAAATCAAGTATGGCTTGAATCTTGGCGGGATTAGCTTCAATTCCTCTCTGGCTCACCATATATCCGAGAAATTTTCCTGACCCTACCCCAAAGGTGCACTTCTTGGGATTAAGCACCATTGAGTATTCTCGAAGGATATCAAAGACTTCGAAAAGATGAGCAATATGGTGGGAGGCTTGTTCTGATTTCACCAGCATGTCGTCTACGTAGACTTCCATCGTATGGCCGATCAAGCGTGCGAACATCTTATTGACCAACCTTTGATATGTAGCCCCAGCATTTTTTAATCCGAAAGTCATCATGACATAACAGTAAAGACCTCGGGCCGAATAAAATGAAGTATGTTCCGCATCGTCAGGGTGCATGGGAATTTGATTGTAACCGGAGTAGGCGTCCAAAAAACTCATGAGCTGATGCCCCGATGTAGCATCTACCATGTAGTCAATATGTGGAATTGGATAGCTATCTTTCGGGCATGCCTGGTTTAAATCCGAGAAGTCAATGCATAAGCGCCAAAGACCGGTAGCTTTCTTGACCAAGACAGGATTCGATATCCATGTAAAATATTTTGCTTCTTTAACGAACTTGTTGTCTATTAGCTTGTTCACTTCCTCTTCCAGCGCTTTCGGACGATCTGGTCCGAATTTCTGACGTTTTTGTATGACGGGCTTGACAGTTTTATCCAAATTTAGCCGATGACACGCTTTCTGTGGGTCTATCCCCTTCATATCTTCATGCTTCCAAGCGAACACGTCAGAATTTGACCGAAGGAATTGAATTAAGTGTGAGTGCATGGGTTATTGAAGGCCAGCTCCAATACGTAACGGTTTTTCTTGAGTTAACTCATCCACGTAAATAATTTCGACATCTTCAACTGGCTCCGCTCGAATGCGATGAGTCTTATCTTTGAATTGTATCCTCGGATCTATATATTCGTGAGTCTTCATATCCTCCGCAAAAAGAGGTCGGTCTTGGTCGAGGGTACGATTCGAGGTTTCAGGCAAATCCGACATGTCAATGAGATCGGTACCAGGGACAGAAGGGATGTCGGTATTTGAAGCTGATTGATCTATCATTGTAGGATCAGGAGAGATTGAATCTTTCAACTCACGAGAGCTATCAGTCTCTCGTACCTCGCATACATGAAAATTTCGTGAAGTTGAGAGCAACGTCAGACTTCGCGCCTCCCGCTGGTCTCCATAATGAGTGCCTTCCCCTTCAAGAGTGGGGAACTTCAAAGCATAGTGAAAAATTGACACAGCAGCGCGGAGTTTATAAAGAGCAGTTCGTCCTACAACAGCATTGTACTCATTCTGAACATCCAAGACTTTGAAGGTCTCCATAATGATCTTGGATTTTGGTCCAAAACCACCAAATCGTATAGGGAGCATTATTTCACCGATAGGGCAAGATATACTTCCATTAAAACCTTGAATTTGGTCGTTACAAGGTCTGATATCTGCGGGGTCCAAACCTAGTTTCTTGACAGTATGGAACATTAAGATACTTGAATAAGCTCATGTATCAACCACAATTTGATGAACGGGAATCCCCCCAATCGGAGCAGTAATGATAAGGGCATCAGAGTAGGGATGAGCGAACAGATTAGCGTCCTCAATACTGAATGTGATGGGACAATTTTGCTTATCAATGGTGTCTCGAAGATCAACGTTCATAACTCGTTTCTCGGCATTCTGGGCTTCCCTGGCATAGGCTTTAGCTTTTCGCCGAGAGGTGTCCAACTTTTTGGTATTAGAGTTTAACTCGAGGTATGCAGTGTGAAGAGTTTAATGCGTCATGTGTTTTGGACTTTTTGCAGTTGTCGGTCGAAGTACCGACAAGGGTGGAAAATGTAAAAACTTCCTTATCATTCGCGCGGGCTCTTTTCGGGTTGGCGGGTCGATTGTCATCTTCTTCCTCGTCAGAAAGATCCACAGGCCTTCCTTTCCGACGATTGTCGAAATTTCTGAACTTTTGAAGTTGGGGTTGTCCGATCAAACGTAAGAGAGCCGATAAGAGACCGAGACACTCATCGGTATTGTGTCCCGGAGATTTATGGTACGCGCAGTATCGGGATTTGTCCAGCTTATCTTCAGAAGTTCTTACTGATTTTGGATCAGGAATAATCTCTTTTCCTTTCAGCTCTTCAAAAATGGTAGTTGCTCCGGCCGAATAAACGGTTTGATAGCCTGTCCTCACATTGTCGGCATATTGTCTCGGGCAGCTCTGGATTCCAGAGTATTTTCATATCCTTTTGAATAATTCTGGTATTATGCTTTCCCAAAATTTTTCTTATTCTTCTTTCTCGCGTCCGATTCACTCTTATTCTCCTTTACCGAGAAATCAAAACTAGGGACCGACATCGACTCCTCGGCGATGATGAATTGTTGAGCTCGTACGAGGAATTCTTGAAAAGTAGCCAGCTTGTTCTGACATAAGGTCCAGCGGAACATCGAATTGGGCTTTAATCCGGCGATTGCAGTCACTAACAGAGTCTCAGGGTGACAGGGTTCCATGTTCTGAATTCGGTCATTAAACCGAGATACGTAGTCCTTTAAGGTTTCGTCATCCTTTTGGACGATATTAGTGATCGATTCTTTTGGGATAAGGCAAACTTGAGTTCCGATAAAATGTGATCGGAAAGCTGCGCGTAACTGTTGCCACTTCCAAATTGAATGAGGTGGAAGTGTGTAGTACCACTTTTGCGCCCGCGGCCCCAGTGTCAGTGAAAACATCCGACATCTCAAAGCGTCTGAGGCTCCATGCAAGTCCATCCATGACGTATAATGACCCAAATGCGCGTCTGGATCCGAAGTTCCGTCATACATGCCAATTTGTGGAATCTTTACCTTAGCAGGGAGCGCCTCTGCAGTAAGTTCTGGAGCTAAAGGCGAGTCGGCTTCAATAAGAACATTTCCCGACGTCGAGACATGTCGGGGAGAATCTTCTTGTGACTTCTGTCGAGTCTCAATTTCAGCCAATCGTTTGTGGAGAACCTCAATTTCTTCAGCACTATGTCTTGACATACGATTTCGTTCAATCCGGCGTCGTAAATCTTCATGGTCACGAGGTGCCGGTGAGATAGGTCTGGGTCGTGACTGAATCCTTTGATGATGAGCAAAATAACTCTCGGCAGTCATTTCTTGAACAGGAGGTTCCTCCGCGGCCTGGTTGTTTGTTACTGGGTTCGTGGTTATACGAGTTAACTCCTCTCGACCTGGAGAAGTATGGCGTGGTTGTGACGTAGCATGGGATGTTGCCGCGTGTGTTTCAGGGTCATGACGAGTATGATTTGGATGTTCCGTTGGATTAGTAATACCGGTGTTGATAATGGCACAGTACTCGAGTTTCTGGGCATGGCTCGAGCTATAAGAGAGGTTAAACCTTGAATAAACTCTGGGTTTTGCAGGAAGTTCGTGATATTCGTGACTGGAGGAGGTGGTGTTGAACGCCGTGGGGAATGATTAGTCGATTGGCTATGGCCAGGATGAGCTGTGTGATCTCGACCAGATTGCGACATGGTGACTTCAAGCGCGGAGATGGCTATAACAGCGAAAGTTAACCTCAAAACGTGATGAGGCCCTTCCTCTAGCGCCAAACTGTTGTTAAATGGTAATTAACAACGATATGATAATGAGAAATTCTTCGTGTGTTCAAAATAGATTAGTGAAGAACATATGAAAGTCTGAGCGAAACAGAATTTATTGAATATTCTTGTATATTTCTCGTGTGTCACTAGAGAATCTATTTTCTCCTTTTATATTAATTTACAACATTTATCTGAAATGTAATCATTACATTTGAAAGGACAAAGGCGATTTCTTGCCATTTATCTTGGTAGCACGCCACTTGGACAGATGTAATGATGATTTGTGCTGAGTTGGCGCCGCCTTATGGTGTCAACGTGGCAAGTCATAGATATCGGTTCAATTATCCTTAACCGATATGTCCTAACCGATATGTCGCACCCGACATGTCGCAACTGATATGCGATGTCGGTTTTGAAAGAGGAAGATGTCGGTTCGAGCGAGGAAGATGTCGGTTTTCCCTGACACGTTACTGCTTTAGGATCCTTGAAGATGCTTTCTTTTTTGTACAAACATAATCTCCAACTTACTGAGTATAAATGCTTAATAAATATCGCTTAATTCGGTTTACCAAAAACCATATCAACAACGGGGGTCCTCTTACGAACGCTTTTCCGTTGGGAATTCTCACTCAGCATCTCGTAAAGCTCATAGATCTCCTCGGCCATGTGGCTCCCAATGTCTCCCCCGGCCGCATGATCAACCATGTATTGAAGGGTTTGATGGAGATCGTCGTAGAAGAATTGATTTAGTACTCCGAGGCAAAAGTGATGATGGGGGCATTGGAGTTGATACCCCTTGAATCTCTCCCATGCCTCGTGAAAGGTCTACCCGACGTTTTGGCTAAAGCTTGTAATTTGGGTTCGGAGATCGGTGGTCTTTTGGTGTGAGTAGTACTTGCCCATGAACTTCTCATATACGGCCTCCCACGTGTTGAGTGAATTCAGAAGCAATGTCATGAACCAAGATTTTGCTCGATCTTTCAATGTGTAAGGGAAACACCTCATTCGAAGTTGGTTCTCGGTTAGTCCTTGGAGGGGAAATGTGTTGACGGTTGCATAGAAGTCTCGAATGAAGTTGAGAGCATCTTCTTGGGCGAGGCCATAGAATGAGGGAAGTTAGTTTAGATGGATGATCTTAAGG